CAGCAATTTCTGAGCGCTGGTTCTCAGCCCAGCTTGCTCTCTCTCCCCTCAAGTTTCTCTTTGAGCTCTGGAGTTTGCATTAATAACTCCAGTTTCTATTTCAAGGTGAGAACTCCAGGCTATGCCGCTGGGTCCTGCCCCTGGATTAAGAAGCCTGATCCGCAGAGGTGGGTACAGTGTAAAGATCACCAGACCTGGAACTCCAGACACCCAGGCTCCGTCAGACCCAGCTCCCCTGCCAGTGTATGTGTCCTTGGACACGTTGATTCTCCTCTCCAGGGCCGGCTTCTTCAACTGTAGAGTTCGGACTACATCCAGCTTGCAGGGAATGTTGGGCATGTAAGCCATAGAACAGGTAGGGCTTGAGAACTTATCCCCTCATTTCCACGCCGGGACACGTCAAGGCCCAAGAGCGAGAAAAGGGGACAAGCTCTGTGGAGATAATGGCCTCAGATCTATTCCTGGCACGGAGTCCAGCCTCCTGGACAAGGCTGTGTTCAGGACGGCAGGCATCTGACTGTGGGCAAGGGGGTCCTGGGCACCCGACGGCGCGGCCCGTTGGGGGATGAACAGAGCCCGACGAAAGTGGACGGTGGGTTTCCGGGGCTCAGGGGCGGTGACATAACCATATGCCCAGTCTCAGCGCTGCATTGTCTGCCAAGATCAGCACTGACGACAGCCAGTGTTCTCTTAAACACGGGCACCAGCTAACACCTGGCACGCATCGAGACCCCACCACCTAATGGGGACTATGCATCGATCTCCTCGGCCGAAAGGAGGAGACAGGGAGCAGAACTCACTCCCGGTCCCACAGCTAGGTCGCCCTGTCTACTAGTGAGGACCAAATATTGACTGATCAATTTTAAATGCGTTACTGCATTTTTAAAACTTATTTATTGATATGAGAGAGCGAGAAACACGCCTCTGCGGCCCCACCTACCCAGGCGCTCACTGGTCGATTGGCGCCTGCCACCACCAGGTCCCGCGGCAGCCTGGGCACGCAGAGTCCCGGCTCCGCCCTCCTGAGCAGCCCCGCCAGGGCCGTTACCGCATTTTAACCCCTTTCCTTGTGAATTGCTTGACTCCAACTCTAAAATGTGAGTTTCAGAGCCTGAAAATTTGTTATGCTGATGTCTGAATGTCCACTCCTGGAAGAGGGCATTTGTCCACTTCATTTACTGTTGTATTCTCAGCACAAAAACAGGGCTGTTAAATTGTGATCCTGGCCCCAATTCAGTTGCATCTCCTACATAACAGCCACACTGGAGAACCTTAGTCCTCACTTTACAGGTGGGGCCGTAGGCACAGACGCCCAAGCTTGTGTCACTCCAGGAGCTTCTTCTGTTTAGGGAATTCGGAGACACGGAGCTGGAAGGAAAAAGGGGGCAGAGGGACAGGGCAGGGGCACGGGGTGGCGTGGGTGGGACGGAAGACTTGAAAAGGGCAGGTCTGGTGGATGGCAGGAGGCAGGAGGCAGGACTTGAGCCCTGGCAGGGCCTGTGGGAGGAATCAGGTTTCAGCCGCTCATCTCCTGGGCCTTAGAGTGGGAAGTAGGGGGCTGAGGTGGTAGGGTTTAGAGTCTGGGTTCAATTCTTGGTCCCTACTTGATTCACTTCTTAACTCCTTGGTCAATTTCTCTAAGCCTCACCGGCCCCCGTGGTAAACAATAGGATGCAGTGAGGTCTTGGAAAGGGTCTGGGACGCAGTCGGCCCTCAGACGGTTGGGTCACCTTCACCCGGGTGGGAGCCAGCTCCGCCTCCCAGGGAGACCCCGCCCACCTGCGGCATCTGAGCTTTGCCTGGGACCCTGACCGCCCTCCTGGCCCAGAACACCCAGGCTTTGGCCCTCCGGGGTCCGCTCCCCTAGCCCCGTCAGATGCTGAGAAGTGGCAGAAACAGATAAAAGTCAGGGAAGACCGGGCTTTTCCTCAGCTTCCCACCCCGCCCTTGATTTGTGCGTTCAACACTATCAAAACTGGGCGCATGAACCAGAGCTGAGCAACCCACTCACCTGCGCACACGCCCAGAGGTGTGTCGAAGGCTCCCTCGGCTTAGGGGGACTGGAGGGTCGACCCCACTCCCAACCACACACCCGGGTGGTCCCCTTTCTTCTCCTCGAGCGTTCTGACCCCCTCCCTCCCTCTACTGCTTCCCGCCCGCGCCCCCAGCCCCCACCCCCGCCCTGGCCCAAACTGCTTTAGACCCCAAGGGGGCAGGCCAGCCCCCTCCCCCGGTGGGAGTGGCGAGGTCTGGAGGGTATTAGGTGGGAGGCAGGAGAGGGCGCCAGGCAGGGACCTGAGGCCGGCAGCCTGAGTCACTAGATCTCGGACCAGTGGGACTCCTTAGGGGCTGCGCAGTCCCTGGGCACCGGGCAGAGGTGCCGGGAGTGAGGGTGGCGTCCGAGGCAACGGTCCAGGAGGCAGGAGAGCCCAGGACTGCATCGGGGCCCGGAGCGCTGGTCCCTCAGCTCGCGGGCTCCGTGGGAGCCAAGCCCACCCAGCCGCCCCGGCTCGCGCGCGCCAGAGCGGGGCCAGTGGCTGAAGGTCCCGAATGGGCTGCCTTGGGCGGTGTGGGGCGCGGAGGTCCCTGCCCTGCCGTTTATATCCAACTCGCCGCCCTGCGGAGGACGTAGGAGGGGCTGGGGAGGGATCAAGTTCCCTGGGTCCGGGGGGTCCGTGGGCAGCGCGGAGAACTGACCTGCGCGGAGTCTGTCCTGGCAAAGTCATGTGGGCTCGGCGCGCCGGGCCTGAGGGCGCAGAGGGTCGAGAGCGTGACGCTCCTCTCTCTTCCTCTTTGGAGAATGTATGCATTTAATACTTGCCCAATTTTGAATAAACACACACGTAGAAAGAGCGATGTATGTACATGCACACACATACATATGTACCAAATGAAAGTAAATATGGTCAAATATAAACAGTTGTTAATTATGGGTAGTGAGAATATGGGGAGTTTATGAATTTTTGTATTTCAAGTATTTTAATTTTCTCAAATTAAATATTAGCTTAAATATTAGCTTCAAAAGCTAATATTAGCAATCACACATGTGTAAATGTATATATAGTAGTATTCCACTATTCGGAGCCTTTTAGTTATACCAACCATTTACTCCTCATAGCAAGCCTACGAAACAGGAACTATTACTCACACCCTCCTGTTACATGCGAGAACTCGGAGGCTGGAAAGCTTTGGAGACCTGCCCCGGACCACACGGCTCTTCAGGGGCAGAGCCAGAAACCAGCCCCTGGCAGCCATGTCCAGGGCTGCCTCTTGCTTTTGGCAAAATAAGGGATGAAAAAGCAAGTAGCTTAAGGGGAAGGTGGAAGCCACAGAGTGTTTTCAGGGTGGAGGATGAACTTATTTATGGGCTGAGGGGAAGAAATGAGCAGAGGGGAAGAAGACGAGAGGAGGCCTGGGGACATTTAACGGCAGGGACATTCTCCGGATCACGGGCACCAACTTCAGCATGCCTGGGAGGAGGAACAGGGCTCCCAGTTTGTACTGAGGACGGCGAAGGGGTCTGTTTATGGTGTGAGGAGGGCTGTTGTGGAACATTCTGCCTGGTTCTAGGAATTGAAACTCTCTACCGCCTGTGGCTAAGGATGAGCAAGCGATGACCTCTAGAATCCTAGCCACAGGAGACAAAGCTTGTCTCTGGTAGCAAATGCTGCCTCAGTTTCCTCTCCCGGCCCCCAAAGCTTGGTTGGAACTCAGTGACGGGTAAGACCCCTCACAGCGGGGGACAACCTAAGCCAGACTCGATCACGTGGGAGGCCATCATGGAAGAACTGGGGGGGCTGCAACAAAGAGGGAGCAATGGACTCTGGGCCCCTGGCTTTGAGATAGCCAGAGTCTCCATGCCCTCTGGGAGAAGTGCTTCCTGGTTCCGATCCCTTTAAGCCTGAATACCTGTTGGGGAGGGATGCAGCTCCTTGCCTCGCTAGAGCGTGTTGGTCTGGGGGGCCGGGGATCTGGCATCACAAGAATTCCTGATAAATCTGTGAAATCTGCTCTGCTAAGAGTGCTTTCATTCATATGATAAGGGTCCGAGAGGAAATGAGTATGTCTCCCAAAGTTTCTGCAACCCCCTCTCCTGACAGACACTGACTCACACTAAGCCCTCAGATTTCTTTGAAATGTTATCTACTGTTTGACCCTGTCACCCTGTATTCCTGGGTATTACAACCCAATAAAAGCCTCCGGAGGAAGGGGCTCGAGGACTTTTTTTCCTCGGAGAAACTGGCCACTCCTGGCCTTTGTTTCCCCTGAGAAACTGGGCACCTCTCCTCCTCAGGCAGATCACATCAAGTCTCAGCCATGTTTACTCTCACCCATGGCACACGGGGGAGCTTGCGAGCAAAGTCGCCCCCACAGAGGGCAACCTTGCTTCTCTGAGCAATAGAAGGCAAGGTCACCAGCAAGGAGGCTGAGAGACAGCCGGCAGGCTGCAGCCCGATCAGGCAGTGGATGCAGTGGCCTGGTGTTCTCACGGGAGGCTGGCAGGGGGGAGACGGGGGCTCCTCCAGGGGAGAAGGGCAGGAGAGAACTGGAGGCTGGCTGTCCAGTGACTCTGTCCTCTGTTTTCTGTTACTCAAAACTCTACTGTTCTGTTGACAGAAAAGGGCCCAGGACCCAGGACCCAGGACCCAGGACCCAGGACCCAGGAGGTTCCCCACCTGTGGGTGGGTCAGGGGCCCGGGCAGTGACCTAGGAGCATGGGGTCCTTCAGAGCAAAGAGCAAAGCATCCTAGTAACTGGGAAGCGAATCTGTTGTCTGTCCCCACTGGACACAGACTGCATAGTCACAGGCTCCTCCCCCGCCCCTCCAGAGAGAGAGAGAGTGTGTGTGTGTGTAAGAGAGAGAGAGGGAGGATGAGAGGGTGAGTCCGTGCTTGCCAAGCCAGCGGCCACTCCTGTGGACTGGCTTGCCTTTTACCTGCACAAGCCTTCGTGACACCCTCCTCAGTAGCACCTGCGTGCAGCTCCTTGGGCGGGGAGCCCCAAGCAAACCGACCTGTCTGCAGAACTTGTCCAGCGCCCCCAGGACGCCAACTGGACTCTCAGAATCAGGTTTTCCTCATCTGCCAAGGTGTGTCCTTCCCTGGCCTCTTTTTGGCAATGAAATGAAGTCACCCAGCTCTGCTCTGCACCTGTCTCTCTGTTTTGGGGGAACTTTTGTCAGCGAACCAGGGTCTCCTAGCTAGGCTGGTTTTCAGCATTCTTTGAATGGCCTGTCTTCTTCTGGAGTCACAGGTAAGAAAGGTGCCCCCCAGACTTGTGTTGGGGACATTGTGGGTGTGGAGACACTGTGGGGGTGAGGTCAAAGGGTACTTAGGGCTGCTTTGTCAGAATGTGGGAAGTTGCCTGCTCCTAGAAAAATTTCAGGTTGTCCCTGCCAGGGCTGTCCCTTCAGGGCACAGTGGCATCAGCCCCTCCCACTGGTGAGGGCAGCTTAGTTTCAGGAGCTATCACTTCACTGTATTGAATCTGCTTTGACGTCATTATTGGTTCTCTTCCTTCTTTTGTCATTTGTGATCCTTTTGGTAAATACTCTGTCTCTTTCAATCACCACTGACAGACATCAGCAGTGTTCTCTGACTTGGAAGGTGGCAAGCTCTTCATCACTGGGGTTTTCGGAGGCTGGCGTTTGTCCGGGGATTCCTAGATCAGCTGGTGTGGCGATCCAGATGACCTTTAAGATTCACGCAACCTTGAGATGTTAAGCTTCTGCAATTCACCGATTTCTTGGGCAGAGCAGATATAAAAGCTACCAATATGCTCTCTCTTCCCTGAGCACCTATAGTGAAATTATTTGGAAGAAGAAACAATATCATTTCCTTTAATCAAGGGGCTTTCTTTGGGGTATTGACAGCTGTGGGAGAGCAGGGACTCCCACGCTGGAGGGCAGTGGGGGGGGGGGGCAAGAGGTGTCTGGGTGGGATCTGTGCAGGCTTTCCGGAGAAGTCAGTGCCCGTGGAAAGAATCAAAGGTGGCCTGGTGGATGAGAAGTTGAAAACCAGCTGCAGTGGGGAGGTGGACAAAGAAGCAACCCAGAAAACCTTGACTTCAGCGGGACCAGAATTCCAGAGGTGGGGGAGGGAGGCTGAGATGAGTTGGAGTGGGAGTGGGGCGTGGTCCGGGCACCCTTGCCCGTCAGCGGCAACACAAGCCTGGCAGGGATGCTGGGGCTGGGGCCCTGTACACATGCCGCATTTCTGTGTTGGTGTCTCTCACGTCCCAGTCACCCAGACCCACTTTACAAACAGGGACCTCGCCCCACATCCACCTGCCCCCAGGCCTGCCCGTCCTGCCACTTCCAGGGTCAAGGGGTCCAGGGCTCCTTCTCTTTTAGTGTCTTTCTGATCAGAGGTAGACGGTTACTCTGGTTACTCTGGTTACCTGGAACGATTCCTCCTTCGGCTTCCAGTGACAAACTAGTGAAATTATTACAGTGGACTAATTACAACGGATGCAAATTTGAGGCATGTTGCAGAAATACGTCTTCTAGAGTCAATTGAATCTTTTGCACATTCTTCCAGAGGGTCCCAGATTCCTCTCCTGGGATATTTTATATGATGCAATTTTAGCATGCCTGGATTTCTATTTTTTTCCCTTCTATTCTCACAAGTGGGGGAAAAATCTTTCTTTTACAGAGTGCACTTGGTTGAAAGGTGAAACAAATAATAACTTTCAGATCTGTGGCCATGACATTGGTTAGAAAGAAGGGGAGTGAATTTACACATAGAAGAACCTCCTAGAACCTTGGTTCTCAGTGAATCAGGGTGCTTTCACCTTTTGACTATCATAAATGGCGCCCAAATTCTTCTTCTGGACACCCTATTCAGTGTGTTTATTCTCATTTTACATACGCAACACTGAGACCAGAAAAATGGGCATTTTGGTATCACTGGTGCCCTCTTCTGTCCATCAGGTCAGGGCTCATCTTAGGGGAGAGTGGCTCATTGGCAAACCTGTGTGCAGTGTGAGGACAAAGGCACATCTGTGTCAAGGATGCACACCCCTAAGACCCTCTCCTGGCCTTGCACAGGTGTGGCACTGAGAGTGGCCTGTGTGGAATCCAGCCGGAGCTCTGCCACATCAGCAACACGAGGCCCTGCTGGGGAAGCAGTCGAAGTTCAACCCACAGCAAAGCCCTGGCCCGGCCACTTTACAATCCACAGCGGGGCCTGCCTGTAAAGCCATGGGCTTCACCGACCCTGAGTTCCCACCAATTTCAAAGCTTGGCCTGTGGTGGCTCCTTCTGATCCCAGCAGGTGAGTGAGTGACATGTCACACCTGTAAGCTCACGTGTGGTGGAGGAAACTCCTGCACCTGAGCTCGTGGCGACCGCCAGCGCTGCAGGGTACTCCAGGTAGCTCACTCCACGGCGAGATGGGGCAGTGCGCTCGCAGCTCTGACATAGGCAGCGGCATCACCTTGAACCTGCCCTAGCTCCAGTGTTCCTCATCTGCGAATGCGGATTGTGCGGTGAACCTCCGGGTGTAGTGTGAGGATCACATGACGTGAGAGTGTGCGACCGGCACCTGGAATACAGCAGGTGCTCGGTACACGGCAACTATTGCTACCAATGTGGTTTTTTTTTTAATATCAGACCAGTAGCACCCACTTGTCCAAGCCCCAGAGCCCTAGCAGATGACAATGTTTGCAGAACAGATATAAGCGGTTCCCTCAGACACGTTTGGGACACTTTTTAGGAAAAGTGTCCTAGGCTGAATTTTGTCTCTAGGTCTTACCTCTTCCCCAGTCCTCTGCCTTGGCAACCCCCCCCACACTTATTTCCTTGCCTGCTTAGTGAATGGTCCCCGGGCAACGGACATTTCCTGAGTTCCAGCCATGTGCTGGTTGCTTTGTTAAGTTCTCCTATATGCTATTCTGTTTCATGCTCAACAGCGTTGTGAGTTAGGTCCCGGATAGTGTCCCCACTTTACAGATGAGGAAACTGAGGCTCAGTGAGGTTGAATGGCTTTGTTGGGAGAGGGAGTTGAGCACCCACCACCCTGAGCTTCCAGAGACCCCACTCTTCCTTCCTGTCCCCCAGTGCTGGCGCAGCGAGCCCCCCACGCCCAAGCAGAGGATCGCCTGTTCAAACGCCTCTTTAGGGGCTACAACCGCTGGGCACGGCCAGTGCCCAACACCTTGGATGTGGTCATCGTGCGCTTCGGGCTGTCCATTGCCCAGCTCATCGACGTGGTAGGCCTGTCCCACCACCCTCTGAGCCTGTGGGATCAGCCCCCAGGTCACAGGCCCATTTCCCAGGGTCCTCCCTCGATCTCCAGCCCCAGCCCTTCTCCTTCCGGCCCCCCAGCCCACCTCAGTCAAGCTCCCTCCCTCCCTCCCAGCCCTGGAGGCCCTCCTGGGAGGACCCTGATTTAGCAGGGGGGGTTCTAGATGCTTTGCTTGTTCCACTGGACACAAGCCCAGAGGACCCAAGTGGCCTGTGTGACCCTAAAGAATCTGAGCAAAGGGTACAATGTCAGGAGGGGTGTTGGCTGGGCCGGGTTCGCTGTGTCATGTAAGAGGGTCCTCTGGTGAGTGAAGGGCTTGAGTCAGCCTGTCCCATGTCACCCTGTCTTCTGGGGCTGGTTCTATCACTCTGACGGCTCTTACCCTTTCTCCCACTGCCTGCTGGCCAGGATGAGAAGAACCAAATGATGACCACCAACGTCTGGCTAAAGCAGGTGAGCCCCGCACCCCAGGTAAGGCAGGAGTGGGAGCAATGCGTTTGCTCTCCTGGATCCCTACCCAGGCTGACGCATTTGTGTAAACGTTATGGGACTGTCCCTAGAGGGGACGGGGCATCATGCAGGGGACCTTCTCAACGATGGAACACTGCACCGTTTTAGTGCAAATGCGCAAAAGCAAAATGGCCCCTGGACCCAGGGCCGGCGGGGTGCGAGCCCCAGTGCTGCCCCAGTACTGGCTGTACTGCCTCGGTTTCCTCACCCCAACTCACTGGATTGTTGCGAAGATTAGAAAAAATAATCCAAAGGGCCCCGACACAGTTGACTTTACAAATGGTGATGGTTATTGTTTTCATGATTATTTGTCCCTGTGGGGCAAAGGGCAGGCTTTGAGAATGCCAACACCAGTCGTTCTCTGTTGGGGGTAGTTGCTCTTTTTAGGTCTGAAAGGGGCGGGGGAAACCACCCTGGAAATTGGACTGTACAACTTTGGAGTTTTTTGTTGCTGGGATACTCGTTTACTGAGCATCCATCCACCAGGGGCTGCTGCTAGCAGTACAGACGTGTCCTCGGCTTCAGGGACCTTACGAACGCGTTAAATCAATCACTGCGCACATCCGCATGTAATCACCCTTTATGATAATGCCATAGAGGAAGCTTCAGAGAGTGAATAATTCTAACCTGCTTTGGGGGAGAAAACAATTTCACGTGGGCCTGCTGGTGTAAGCCGTGGTGGCACTCCTAGGGGGTGCTCCGAAGCACAGTTTGAAAGCCACTGCTTCACTCCCCTTTCTCAGCTGTATATTCTGGAAGGTTTTTACCTCTCTGGTCCTCAGTTTCCTTACCTGTTAAATGGAGAAATATTTGCACCTGCATGGAATTCTCTGCCCGGCTCCCGCAATGAGGGTGCAAATAACTTTGTAAATTGTGATGCAGTAGAAACAAAAAAGTTAACCCTGGCTGGTGTGGCTCAGTAGATTTAGATAGAACTGGCCTGAGAACCAAAACGTCGCTGGTTCAACTCCCAATTAGGACATATGCCTGGGTTTCGGGCCAGGTCCCCAGTAGGGGGCGTGTGAGAGGCAACCAATTGATGTATACCTCTTGCACCTCAATATTTCTCTCTCTTCTCCCTCCCTTCCCCTCTGAAACTAAATTTAAAAACTCTTATAAAAAATATTACTATACACGAGTGAGGTGTCTGCCCGGATCCATCCAGCTGGGGAGTGGCAGAATGAGGACTAGAGTCAGGACTAGGGTGACAACGACTAAGCGTGCCCGGGGCTCTAAGTACTAGACCTGAGGCAAAGCCTCATGTCAGACCAGACCTCTGATTCCAACCCAGAGCCCTTTCCCTCCATGGGGCTGGATGAGTTCAGTGGTGGGCCTGAACCCGGCTGCTGGGGCATCCCCAGGCTGCCTGTTTGCCCAGTGACCCCCTCCCCAGGCAGCACCGGATGACCTGACTCTCCTTCCCACGCACAGGAGTGGAATGACCACAAGCTGCGCTGGAACCCCGCTGAGTTTGGCAACATCACATCCCTCCGCGTCCCTTCAGAGATGATCTGGATCCCTGACATTGTCCTCTACAACAAGTAGGAAGCCGCCGGGGTCCTGGGAAGGCCCCTGGGAGGCAACTGGGAGAGGTTTCTGGGATGGATTTTGGAAGTGCGCCCCCTTGTGTCTCACCCTCTTGCCCCCGCAAGTCCTGCTTTGCTGCTACTACCCACGCTACCCCGAGCTTTTGTACTGATTCCTTTATTTCTATCATTTTGTTCTCTTATGTGTACACTGAAATTTATTGAGCACCTACTATGTGTCGGTGCCTGGTGCCATGCTAATGGGACACAGATTTGCCAACACTATTACTTTAAAAAAGTGGCTGGTGCAGGCCATGGCAACAATGCCCGCGGGTTGGGGTTTTGCAGCGGGGCAGTGCAGCTAGAGCAGGGAGCAAGCTCACTTGGTGTGGATGTTTATAAAGATTATATTACTTGTAGTTGCCTTGTCTTCAAGACCAGAAAGGACCAGTCTTTTGAGCATAACGACCAGAAGCCAAAAAAGGCAGAGCAGTCTGAAGAGACCCTCAGCATGGGGGGTAGGGGCAGGTCGATGGAAGAAATGGAGATCTATAATTTTATGTACGGTGTTTGGTAGCAGGTAGTTCTTCATTCAGAAGTCAAGAACTTAACATTAAAAGATATTTGAGACTGTGTTCATCTAAAATATGTTCTAAAGTGGGGCCCTAAGGAATTCTTAGAGACGTGAATAGATGTGGGAAACGGCCCTGAAGGTGAACGATTCTGGGCAGCACCGCAGGCCACCGCCCCCCAGGGCTTCGGAATGTCAGAACACGGCAACATCTAAACGCTGTTGGAAGTCGTGCAGCCAAGAAACCCATTCATCCCAGCATTTCCCAATTCATCTGACCCAACTTTGGAAAAGCCATTAAAAAATCAATAAAACAAAGGGGAAAGATCCACTTCTGGAGTTTGGGTACTTCCAACCAGGTCCGAGGGGAATGACAATGGTTCCCTGTCATTGGAGCCTTTCTTCTCTCCTGTAAAGTATTATAGCTCACTGAATCACCAGAAGTGTGATTTAAGTGTATTTGCTGTAGGATCCTCCCATGTGTTTTCCTTTTAGAACTATAGGGCTCTGGACCACTGGAGCCCTTTCTGTATACACAGTCAGCAGGGGTTACTTGGAAGGTCCAGCTCAGCAGGTGCCTAGTGTTTGCTGCCGCCACCAGAATCACTGATACCTGGCCCCCTGTGTCTACTCCCCTGAGCCTGTACCCAGACTCCACCTAGTTTCTGCTTCCTGCACATGTGGCTGAAGTCAGAAGCAAAGTCCTTACTTAGCATCAGATAAGACCTGGCATTTTAGGGTTACCAGTAAGGCTTCAGCCAGTGTTACGTGAATACAACAGGTAATTCTTCTGATAGTTCGAACCAAATTCTTGCCTTTAGAGAAGGGTCTCCTCCACCCAAACACTCAGGAAGATCAAAGAAATCGAACTTTCCTTCCTCTAAACAGGGTGCATCTTGCCATCTAGTGGTGATTATGTGTGCTGACAAAAATGCCTTGTGAAAACTTCCACCCTGATCTATTATTCTCCTTCAAAGTTCCTATTTCCAACCTTTTCTTTAAAAGATTCCTGTTTTCCAGTCTCTAGCCTGGAACCACTCCATGGGAAATAAGTCTCTTCCTGGTATTCTTCTGGTTCTCGGGCCTTTAGAATTGACCTTGAGAACTGGAGAGGGAGGGACAGCTTGTTAAAGACTAAGGTGAGGAACACTTTGTGTCGCCTCCCAGGTCATATTCCCAGTGGGGAGTCAGGGGCTCAGTCTCCCGGGAAACCCGGCCTGAATGGTCACCCCTACTTCAGTGTCCCTAGAAGTCCTTAAGGAAGTTGCTGTAAACCCTTAGAAATGTAGCTCTGTGACGAGACCAGACCTGCCTCTCTATTCTAGACACACCTTGTGAATTTTGTCCTTCCTCCGTTCTGTTCCTCGTTCTGGAGGATGCCCTGTTGGTGCACTTCCCACCCCTTCTCTCCGCCAAACCCTACCATCAGTCAACGCGTCACTCAAATGGTCACTCTGGCCAGCAGGGCGTTCCCCTGCATCTCTGCTGAGGGGCGCGGTCAGCCCCCAGAGCGCTGCTGTCGAACTGCCTTCCTTGTGTGGCGGGAGTTCGGGGCTGCCTTTCGCTTCCTCCTGCTTCCTCAGGGGCAGGCTGAGTCCCACGCTGTGCCCCCGCAGGCCCCATGTCGGCTCTGGCAGGTGAATCTGGCTCAGAAACACACGGGAAATGGGTGCATTGAGGAATTATCATTCTTTACTAGCAAAGATGTTGGGTCTTCTCAATAACACACTAAAGGGGGTCCCAGGTGGAAAGACCTGAGCCCCAGGTAAGGGCCTGACTCACCATTTGCTGGGGCCAGAAAATATGCTCATAAATAACCACGCTAAACTATCAAATGATCACAGAAATATATGTGATCCATAGGGCATCACATATACATGACATATGTATGTCAGAATGTTAATAGTGGCTGTTTTTGACATTCTTCAAAATTCCTACTTTTGTAACTAAAAAGAGGAGCTTGAAAAGACAGCACCAGTAGCTGTTGATGTCAGTGTGCTGGGAGGTGCCCCCACTGGCATGGACCCCAACCACCCGGCCGGGTCTGGCTTTGTCACTGGGGTCCCTGCTGCTGGTCATCTGGAGCAGCCCGGTGTGTGCAAGGTGGGGGTGTGTGCGGGCCCTGCAACTCCTCCCCTCTCCCCAGTGCAGATGGGGAGTTCGTGGTGAACCACATGACCAAGGCCCACGTCTTCTCCACGGGCACCGTGCACTGGGCGCCCCCCGCCATCTACAAGAGCTCCTGCAGCATCGACGTCACCTTCTTCCCCTTCGACCAGCAGAACTGCAAGATGAAGTTCGGCTCCTGGACGTACGACAAGACAAAATTCGACCTGGAGCCGATGGAGCAGACGGTGGACCTGAAGGACTACTGGGAGAGTGGCGAGTGGGCCATTGTCAACGCCACAGGCACCTACAACAGCAAGAAGTATGACTGCTGTGCTGAGATCTACCCTGACATCACCTACTACTTTGTCATCCGGCGCCTGCCCCTCTTCTACACCATCAACCTCATCATCCCCTGCCTGCTCATCTCCTGCCTGACGGTGCTCGTCTTCTACCTGCCCTCCGACTGCGGGGAAAAGATCACCTTGTGCATTTCTGTGCTGCTCTCGCTCACTGTCTTCCTCCTGCTCATCACCGAGATCATCCCCTCCACCTCCCTGGTCATTCCACTCATCGGAGAATACCTGCTCTTCACCATGATCTTCGTCACTCTGTCCATCGTCATCACGGTCTTCGTCCTCAACGTCCACCACCGCTCCCCCAGCACCCACAATATGCCCCACTGGGTGCGAGTGGCCTTTCTCAGCTGTGTGCCACGGTGGCTTCTGATGAAACGACCTCTGCCACCCTTGGAGCTCCATGGCCCCCCAGATCTGAAGCTCAGCCCCTCCTATCACTGGCTGGAGACCAACGTGGATGCACGAGAGAGGGAGGAGGAAGAGGAGGAAGAGGAAGAGAGATGGGTGTCATCCTCCTCCACAGGTGTCCTCCACGGCCATGCTGATCTGCACCAAGGGGCCCAGCTGCAGAAGGGAGGGCTCCTGCTGTCACTGCGCATGCAGAAGGCACTGGACGGCGTGCACTATATCGCCGACCACCTGCGGTCTGAGGATGCCGACTCTTCGGTGAGTTGGGGCTGGGTTCCTCCGGTGGGTGACTCTATCAGCCTAGCAGGGAGCCGCCTTATCCCAGGGCGTTTGGTTGGGCCAACCCAGTCTCCTCCATGGGAGAACCCACCTCCCTCAGTCACGGCCCTTGGGAGTCTGCAGTAAATAGCAGTGGAGATCATCCAGCTGGCAACGCTTAAGACAGGAAGTGGCAGGTGGCAGACCCACAGTCAGGAATGCCCCAGCTGCCCTGGCCAGTGCGGCTCAGTTGGTTGGAGCATCATCCTATAAACCTGAGGGTCGTGGGTTTGATCCTCAGTCAGGACACCTGCCTAGGCTGCAGGTTCTGTCCCCAGTCAGGGTGCATACGAGAGGCAAGTGATGGATGTTGCTCTCTCACATTGATGTCTCTCCCTCTCTCTCTCCTTCCCTTTTCCTCTCTCTAAAATCAGTAAGTATGTCCTCAGGTGAGGGTTCTAGAAAGTTTAAAAATTAAAAGAGAGAGAGAATGCCCTAGCTAAGCCTAACTGGAAGACAGCAAGACAGAGCTTTTTTTCACACCATCCTTACCAGCATTTCTTCCCGTTACCCGCTGGCGGGGGAAGGGGCAGAGGGAGGTGGGGGGAGTGCCGTCCGGAGAGACCGGACGTCAGGCTGCCTCGGTGTCAGCCTTCATCCTCTTCCCTGATGGTCTCCCCTGCCACCTCCTTGTTTGCGAGTCCTCGGTATTTTGTGAACTTCACTGTTCACACTTAAATCCTCAGGAAGCTTGGTTGTACCAGATGGGCTCCCCTCCTTGGCCTCTGCCATGTCTGGCATTATTAGGTGAGCCAGCCACTGCCCAGCATCACAGAATCCTTCTTAACCACTTAGGAAATCATGAAGGGCAAGGAGGTTATTACCGGATGATCTTGATGAGTAGATGCAAAACATTCTCATTATCTAATCTGGGAGCAGCTAGGAGTTCTGACCCACTCCCCTGGGCTGTGAGCCCGGATTCCACAAAGTCCCCTGCAACTCCAGAGCCTCCCCAGGGCCACGCCTGCCCTCACCTACTCCCCTCTCCATCGCCTGGAGTGGGTGGGTGAATGGGGGGCTGGGAGGCAACATGAGGGCAGCAAAATCTTCACCATCTATAAGTACTGGGTAGTCTGTTTCAACCACTGTAGGCCCCTGGGTGTTCTAGAACCTTCTTGTGTCCCTCCAGCCTCTCTGACCTGGAACTTGAGGGCCTCAGGAAAGGCCCTGGGCTGTGTCAGGGGTAGAACAGGGTGGGAATCACTTAGGAAAGCATTGTTTGAATCTTGAGACAACCCATTACCCACCCACCCACCCCTGCTTCCTCTTCTCAAGGCCTTAGTGGAGCCCCTTTGCCCTGTGCCATGGTGGGACCCCCTCTGTTTCCCAAGGCCTGGCACCCGTCACTGTGAACCCTCTTCCACCTGCAGGTGAAGGAAGACTGGAAGTACGTGGCCATGGTGATCGACAGGATATTCCTCTGGCTGTTTATCATCGTCTGCTTCCTGGGGACCGTGGGACTCTTCCTGCCCCCGTTCCTGGCCGGAATGATCTGATTTCTCGTCCCTGGCTTTGGCCCAAAGGTGGCACTGCTGACCATCCTTGCTGCTGCCTCCAGAATCTACCTTTGGGGTCAATACCACGTGACCACAGGTGCCCGCCCTGGAGTCCCTACCCGGGACCGGTGCTTGAGGACTTCCTGACCCCACTCACTTGGCAGTGCTGAGCCTCTACTGGGTGCAGAGCCCAGCTGTGGGTGCTGAGGATCAAGAAAGGGAGGAACTTGCTCTGCAGAAGGTTGTGATGAGGTGGTGACAATGTGAAGCACATGAGATGCCCCTAAAGGAGCTGTACAGACACTGGGTGACAGGGGCATCAGGTGAGGAAGCAAAAAGCAGGGGTGAAGCCAGGCAAAGAACACAGCACAGGCCTCCAAGAAGGGGTGTGTGGAGGAGGGGGAGAGGATGCCACAAGGGACAGAAGGACTATGAGCCGCGTTTCGGATTCAGGAATGAGCCTGAAGTGTTAGAACGGCCAGGCTGAGGTGGGGCTCTGGTGCGGGGAGCACTGGCTGGCAGGTGGGGTGTCTTTGATTGAAGTGGAGAAAGAAATTCAGAGTCTGAGACCGCAAATCTAACGGCAGAGTGGGAAAGGCTCTCGGGGAGGGGAGGGAGGGGGAGGCAGGCTACCGGTGGGGCAGAACTACAGGGCAGACCCTCAGGCAGAGGGGGGAGGCTTAGCACCCCATCCCCCCTGCCACAGACTGGCTCAGCACCAGCCTACCCCTAGAGGCCTGGCAGCATCGAGCGTCCCTGCTACAGGCGTCCCCTCTGCCCTTCACCTCTTGTGGACAAACCACAAGGTCAGCCTGAGCCACTCCTGATCTAGCTCGCTTGCTCCCTCCCGACCCCGTCCAACGGGGCAAGTGGTGGTTGGCACTCAGGAGTGAGGGATTCGCTCTGGACCGCGACACTGCCGGGCCCAGGCCGCTTCCCTTCCCAGCCTGCCCTGCCTGTCCTTCCCAAGGCCCCGCGGTGTGTCTGAGCTGCCCACACGGTCTGTGTCCGGCCATCCGTGGCTGTCAGTTGCGGCAGGAGCCTCGAGGAGTTCCAGCCAGGGAATCAGGCCTCACCCCCGCCCCAGCTAGTCCCATTTCCCCAGGGTGGGACCCCAGCGGCTAAAAGATGTGGACACCGGGTTCTTGGGTCAGTGTGGGGACCCCAGACAGGAAGCTGATCAGGGCAAACTTCCAATTCCCCTTCGATCTTTGGGGTCTTCTCCTTCCAAACCCCCAGCCCCAGCCTCTGCTCCTCGGTTCTCTCCCAAGACCCCTGACTCAGTGGCCCACTCTGGTTTCTGGCCCCTCCCGATCTCTATGCACATGGTCCCCAGCTTCCCTCCTCCCTCCCAGACCTCCCAGCCTGGATCTCCTGGTATACTAATGTTAGTCCATCTCCCTTCCATCTTGCAAGTTTGTAGAGAAATCAAATAAAATCAAAGCCGCTGTTCATCTAGCTGCGCAACCCCTTGCAGCATCCCCAGGACCACCAGAGCCCTGGTTGTTTGGATGCCAGCTGGGAGTGCCATCCCCCTGAATCCCTCCTGTGGCCATGTTCGGGGCTGCCCTGGGTCCCCACTGGAAAACGCCCCCTTGGTCAGGTGCAGAGCAAAGGGGTTGAGGCTCAAAGCTGACCCCACCGCATGGGCGTCACCAGGCCGCCCCCCAGGCTGAGCCCAACTGAGCATAGTCGGTTTCTTCCAGGGCTGTGGCTAGAGGCCAAGGTTTTCCCCCAACAGCAGTTCAAACAAATGAAGCGATCAAACCACAAAGCAAATAGTACAATTTTAATTCATCCACAAGTCAAATAGAAAGAAGGGAGTGTTCTGCACAAACATAGGAGAGAAGGAGGGAGGGAACTGATGAGAAAGGGAGAGAGAAAAGGAGAGGAGCAAGAAAGGAGGAAGAAAGAAGGAGGGAGCAAAGTAGGGGAAGAAAAGGTGGGAGTAAGGAAGGAAGGGGACTGTGACTTCAGTCCCGTTTGGCCTCGACTCCCCTTCTCGACACTTTGGCCTCGACACTTGGCGTGTTGACAACACCGTGTCCTGTGCCCAGTGTCCCAGTAACGTGTTGCTGGACCGTGGCCCAGGGTCCCCCCTCCAGGGGCACATGGCTGTCAGTCCAGACCAAACTCACATTAAATAAATTCCAATATACACTGTACAAGAAAGCCAGGTCCATTCCTCGTCTCACCAACTGTCCACCCTGTGAAAGAAAGCTGCTCTCTGACCCCTCTGCATCCGTGGGCAGAAGAACAAGAAGGAATAGCATGGTTTCCCAAGGGCCTGCTATGTCCATGCATAAAGCCATCTCGGCCACTAGGGGCATCAGCGTGACCCCCAACAGGCCAGGCAGGTGTGAGGAGGGAACGGCCAGCAGCAGCTCTGCTCCCTCTGAGCCCTCCTTGTCACCCCCTAGATTCTACAGCCCTGAGTCCCCTCTGTCCAGCTGGAGCCTGAACAGCACTGTCTGGGGGTCGGGGTTGGGGGAGGGGGTCGTGCAAAGTGGCAAGGGAAGAACTCCCCTTGGCCTTCCCCCTGAGAAGACCCACATGACCAAAGGCAAGGCAGGGGCCGGGGGACAAGGAAGGTACACGACAGGCAGGGGTGGAAGACGCAGACAGGTGGCTCCCACCCTCCGTCACTCTGCAGGCGGGTGAGCCAGGTTGGCTAGAACCTTGGCCTGGTCCACGGCATCAAGCAGGTTCTTGGCATCCACGGCCAGGGTGTGGGAGGCTGTGAGCATCTGCCGCTTGCACTCCTCACTCAGGGAGGTCACGGCATTTTGCTGGGCCAGTCGCATCTTATTGATGAGCTCTGCCAGGTCCTTGTTGAGCAGTTTTTGGGTCCCTTCAATCTGGAGGAAGAGTGCACAGGAGAGGTTGGAGCCCGTGCCACACAAATGTCCACTTCGGTGTTGGCCGAGGTAGTCAGAATTTCTCTGGGGGGCAAGTTGGACCCAGGCCAGGGCTGAGTCCAAGGCCCTGAACGGGCTGCAGCCAAGCCACCAAGGACAGACACCGCAGCCGGCCCAGACCCCAGCCCATCCCATGCCAGCCCAATCTGATCCATCCCCACTGGCCCTCCCTTTATCACATATCATCTCTTGTGCTGGCCCCACATCAAGTGGATGGTCAGGGGTCAAGTGCATTTATTCATTCCTTAGCTGTCCGCCGTGAAATCAGGAGCTCCAGGGCCATGGTTTGAGCTGTAGGACTTTGTTTACTGCCCGAGGTCCAGAGCTTCACACACTTCTGAGCAGGTAGGTACTCAGCATTTGAGAGTGCTGAGCAGGTGAAGTGAATGGCTGAGCCGTCATGCCCAGGGCAAGACGCTCTCACGTCAGACACGACAGCCCAGCCTGGGGCTCCTCTATGGGCCACCGCGGCCACAGAGAGGGATGCTGGGGACCCCCACCCCTGCACTGTCCTGTCATGAGCAGTCACAGATGGCAGGGATTCGGTGGTCACCCGTGCCACATCACTGACCACGGGCAGATGCCACATCAGACCACAGCCTGGCCGGGGCCATGGGGGTCCCAGACAGAGAGCCGACAAATGCACAGAGGCGCTGTACGAGTTGCCTATTGCTGCAGTGACAAAGTACCACAAACGCAGTGGCTTAAAACGACACGTTGATCCTCTTACAGTTCTGGAGGTTGGAAGTCTGGAGGGGGCTCGACGGGGCTGAAGCCAGGGAGATGGCGGGCCTGTGCGACTCCTGCAGGCTCTAGGGGCCAGTCTGTCCCCTGCCTTTTCCCGCTTCGAAAGGCTGCTGCCTCCCTTGGCTTGTGGATTCTTCCAGCCCAAGCCAAGATCATCTGTCATCACACCCCCTCTCTGACTCTTTCGAGAGCTCTGCTTCTGCCTCCCTCTTGTAAGGACTCTTGTGAGTGCACCAGATCGCCGTGGGTAACCCAGTATCCTCTCCCACAGCAAGATCCTCAACTTAACCACATCTGCTGAGACCCCTTGGCCACGCAAGGCAACACAGCAACAGGCGCTGGGGGTTGGCACGAGGCCCTCTCTGAGGAGCAGGCCTTCCCAGCACGGGCTCCCATGACAACACGGAGCACGGGGCTCCTATGTCAGTGGTTGTTTGTTTCTCACTTAAAGAAAATGAGATTAAATGGTCCACAAGAGACACCTTAACTGCTATGTCCATAACACACTCAGCTTGCCTTCAGCGTGGAGGGAGACTTGATGAGGGGTCACCGGCAGACCGAAAGGGAAGGCGTGTCCTCCCTTGCATGTCCGCACACAGTAAGACGTCGCTGCAACTACCTGAGACCGACACTAGGAGACCAGCCTGGGAGGCTGGCCAGGTCCCTAGGTGCCAGCTCAGCCCCCTTGGGGCACCTGCGCAGACAGGCTGTGCAGGGCCACCTGCTGCAGGCTCGCCGGGCAGAAATGAGACCGCCCAGGTGGCCCCGGTGAGCCCCGTGTGGAACACGGCTGGGCAGGTGGAGCGGAAGGGGAGCTGGTGGTACCGTCTGAGACCAGGACACTCACCTCCGTCCGTGAGGACGACGGCAAAGAAGGCAGGATGTTGTCCACGCTCCCGATGAGCTTCCGCAGGGTCAGGCCCACGTTCTGGGAGAGAAAGTGGGGGTGACTGCACCTTCTGCTCTCTGAGAAAGCCATGCTTCCCTCGGGAGGAGCGCTCCTGGTCGGTATCTGCCTTCTAAGACTACCTGGAACTACGTCCTCTGACCACCTTGCTATAATGGGGGTCTTCCTGGGGAAGACCAGGAAGAACCGCCATGTCGGGCAGACCAGGAAGCTCAGCCCCACCCCATGGGCTTGCAGGGCTGAGACACCGGCCTGCACCTCCCCTGCCCTGGATCTGCCCCTGGTGGCTCACCTTCACCACCACCACGTAGGCCTCAGGGGGCAGCTGACAGAGCTCATTCTTGAGGTCCAGCACAGCCCGCACAAGCTCCATGACATTGAGGTACACCATGTCGTCGGTCCGATCCAGGTTGGCCGTGGGCTGGATGGACTGGTGGGGAGGGGGTCTCGAGTCAGGGGTATACTGCGATTCTTTCCTGGGAGGCACCGCTGGTGCCAACTCAGCCCCCAGCCCGATTTGAAAAGATCTTCTCCAAGATAACAGTGCCCTGTGTTGGGGTGTACCCCTCCCTCCTGCCTCTGGGGCAGCGGTTCTCACATTAGAAGCTGCCAGGGAGCCTTCAAGCAGACTGGTGGCCAGCTTCACGCCAGACCCGCTCAACCATCACCCTGGCATGGAGGCCAGTGGTTTTCAAAAGCGCCTCGGGCGATTCTAATGGGCAGCCGCAGCTGAGAACCACTGTTCCAGAGTGAGGAAAACCGGTGCCCATCCCAGGCTACTGCAAGAACAGGGTGTGTGCTGACATCGAAGGGGGTACACCTGAGAGAGGAGGGGGCCCCAACCCCTGCTTCTAGGGCAGGACCAATGAGCTTTCCTTCAGGTTGGGGAGAAAGGAGACTGGCCTTCCCCTTGCTTTTTTGTGGTTTAGCTGTGTGGCTTTAGACAAGGCGCTGCCCTTCTCTGGGCCTC